AAAAAGAAGATAGATCGTGTATTCACAAATATGGGTGAATAGTTGATACGGGATAATAGCTGCACATAGATCTAACAACCAAACCGGACAAGAAGGATTGATCCCCACAGACCGAACGATAAGAAGGACCGGCGCCCTTTTGTAGGTGTTCCATTCAACTCTAGTCTGAACCAAAAACCGCAAACTACCTCCGAACTCAAGACCATTCCAAACCGGAGTCATCTGCACTGGACCTTATCATCCGCCTAACTATCTTCATCCAACACTTACACATATAGGTAGGTGTGTGCGTGTGTCGTGTGGGTGTTCATAAATACCAAAAAGGAAAAACGTCGAATATCAGATTTCACTGATTATCATGTTCTCAAACACAATATAGACAAAATCAAGGCCTCTACCAACATAACTGCAGCCCAACCACCCATCTTCTCAACACATAGAAACCAATCATGTGACGCTAAAACAGGTACACAAGCATAAAGTTAATTCAATCACTTCCCATCAGAAATCTATAGCTAAACACGCCTGCGGATATGGTACAGAAACAAATAATAGGGTTTGAGAGTTACGCTCTAGCAAGAAGGTCAACAAGCTGTAGCTTACAGAGCGGGTCAAGCAGGGCGCGTAATTCCTCGCCGCTGTGTCGTTCGGATTGGGCAGAGACTGGCCATTTCGATTTGCTCGAGCTTCCTCTTCTTCGCGTTCTCCATTTTCCAGTTAATCTATCTGGTTTTTCTTCTTCCTGTAATCAAGCCACTCTCCACTTTCTTTCGACCTCTTCTGAGTTTCTGCATTTTATTTGAGTGAAAAAAAATTCAGCTGTTGAAGTGTTAGTGCTGTAGTGCGTGTTTGGGTGGGTTTAAGCTCAAACTAAAAGCCAGCTTATGAATTATTTAATTAGGTTAAAAGTTTTTTCTATAAATAATTTTTTAAGATTTTTGGTGTATTTTTAACTTTGAATTAAGATTAGTTTATCTTTTATATAATTAACTATATTTTTTCATTTTAACGACATATATTTACCATTTTTTTAATATGAAAAAGTTAGACAAATTTAAAATTGTAAATAAAAATGAGAAAAAATATAATAATTAAAATAGGCATGATATAAAAATAATAAATTATTCATTATTAAAACTTATAATTAGAAATATGTGAACTGATGAATATTGTTTTTATTGAAAATATGTGATAATGATTCTTTTTTAAATTGGGTTATTTGTAGAAAAACTATATGAAATGAAACATTTTTATAAAAAGATCTTTTGATTTTATTTAGGGATAACCTTTGGCTTAAAAAATATCACATCCCAACCTTATTTATCGTTTTTAATCTCTTGTAAGATTATCCAAAATGTTAATTTCATAAAATAAGAGAAAATGAGACATTTTGTATAAATGGGCCCAACCGGGCCAATATGAAATTCGACCATTGGGGATATTGATGATCAAGCCCATTAATAAGCTAGGTTCCTATTCCGTCTAAGACGAGTATCACTTATTATGAATCCGGTGGTTAACTATATACGAGTTGGAGTTCTACTGATTTCTCATTTATCAAACATGTCGAGCCAATACTTGGATCTTAATTTTATCATACATGTTGAGCTCGAATCTTAATGAGTCGAGCTCACGAACAACTCTTTCTCTTAACAGCTCTTAGCTCTACCAAATGACGATAACTTGAAAATGAAATGTTGATTGCATACTTCATCAAAGTCTTTATAAGTACATAAAATTGATTATCGTGTTAAATCAATGTGATGACACAATATTATTGTACTTTTCTATATCTCTTTCTTGCTTGGACGGCAAATACTGACATATGATCGATTAGAAGCACGCGTGAACACGATAAGTGCAGTGCACAAAATCTTCAAAGATGTATGCAAATAGGTCATAGTTGTTACTTTAGGTTGAATAAAGGTGTTGATGCACAATGATTGAACCTAATATGTGTTATATGAAGTCATTTAAGGTTTTCCCATGCATCAATTTTTGGATGCATTGCATAGGAATAACAGATTCAGCGGAAAGCAAAATATATTTTGCTTTGATCATATATAATCTTCAGCTCATGGGTTTGTGATTTTCACAAGCACTTTCAGAATATGGAAGTTCATATATATGCTTTGTATAGATAAGAACACTTGTAACAGGCTCTATAGGTGGTTTTGGAATTGTTAAAAAAAAAAAAAAAATGAATATTGGAATTTGGAAGGAAAAAAAATATATTTGTGTTCAATTCATTCCAATGAATAAATGACATGTGTATATATGACATCATTGTTTATACATTTTTGCAATTATCTATTTGTATTATATATGTCGTTTCGAATAACAAACGAGTCCAATTGAAAAATAAAACCTTGGAAATATTTAAAAAGTTGGAGAGCTCCAATAAACTCCAGATTTCGAAATGGCCGTAAAGTCTTAAAATTTGTGTAAATCCCATGAAACTATGCCTGATAATGACAAGAGATTCGAATGAATATGATAAAAGTATTCCAATCTCCATTATGTTGAGATATTGAATGCAACTTTTTGTACTGAACTAAAGTGAACTTATCCACTGTTGAACCAGTTCCTTTTAGCCTTGCTTTATTTTCAAAATCATGCAGAGTTTCCTAAATCACCACCTCATAAATAGATATACATAAACTAATCATTAAATTTATATAGAAGAAATTGTTGATTGCTGTGACCATGATCTTGTAATTATTTGCTATTTGGCTACATCATTATTCTGTTTTGATGTTATGTAATTAGTGTTCTAAATAATGCTGTTTTGCTTGCTTTTTTTGCACTTCCTGCTCTGGTATTTTACTCAAATTTAAACCAGTCATGGACCAGTGACCACCTATTTTTTTGTAAGCTACTTTTGGGTTTTTACCCTTTTGTGTTAGCTACTCAAAATTGGAAGTTCAAAATTACAAAGCGGGCTCTGCTTGCAGGAACTTGCTGATAATTATTTCTTTGTCAATGGCATTCTTAACTATTTAAAAATAAAAATTATGAGCATGCTTAATCTCAAGTGAGGCATGTTCTCACTTAAAATGATAATATTACAATCACAATAATTATTACATGAGTCAGCCTAACCATTAGATGAGTCGATTGATGATCACACTTTTAACAATAAATGCAACATAAAATCGTGTGCTTATGTAGTTATGTTTAGGTTTTTTTTTTTCAAAGTGTGACATTTCTATTTGAAAATACATACAACTGAAAAGTATATGATTATCTAACCATTACAAAAATCTTAATGTATTATATTACTATCATGATATTTTACTTATGATACTTGTACATTGAATTAGAATCATTAACCATATAAACAAAATAATTTACAATTCTACAAGTCACAATAATTCATTGTCCTCTATCACACAATGTACCCAAAATAAGTTCAAAGAAAAAGTCTTTTTATCACTTGAAAAATCAGCAAAGTTGTTGCTACTTTATTCAAATTACCTACTACATANCCCTGAAAACTCCCAATTACTCCCTTCACATGTTCACCATGAAAACACTTTCCTCATCTTTGTCTTCCATAAGCTCCATGAAAATCAAAACCGTCCTTCGAGCCTTTGTACTCCCGCGCATGTACCCTATCTCTCGGGCTTTTGGCCGGGCAAAATCCTTTCTACTCAAACTTGCTAGAGACATTCATTTCATCTACTTGGTGGACTTGCCAACAATCAAGAAAAACAAGAGCAACAAGCAAAAAAAGCTCTTTTTCGGCTCGTTTAGGCTGCACTACAACTGGTGCTCGTCACACGTCATGCCTTTAGGACAAGAAAGCTATAACTCTAGCTATGATGATCCATGCTGGAATTCTGTTATTAAACCGGCTTCGTTCGACAAATGTTGCTATCACGAGTCTGATGGTGAGCTTTCGAGATACCTGCAATGGCTTGAGGAAAAAGGGAATGCTAATAATAATAACAATAATAGTAATAATGATAATCAGGAATATTGCTCGAGCTGCAATGAGATCGACAAGCTAGCCGACATGTTCATTGCGAATTGCCACGAGAAGTTCAGGTTGGAAAAACAGGAGTCTTACAGAAGGTTTCAAGAAATGTTGGCTAGAAGTGTATGATAATTGATATATGATATAACATTTAAATAAGGTGAGGTCCTTTTTTCTTCATTTCTTTCTTTGTTTAATTTTATTGTTTTGGGTTTTTGAGGGGTTTTGGGTTTGGGGGTTGTGGGATTTTGAGCAAAATCAGTGAAGAATTTGGGCTGAATTTTTAATTTTGAATATAATTGCTTGGCTAAGCTCACTAGCTATATATATGTATTGTGAGTGATTCTATTATTAGTTGTGGGTTTAACTTTGATTTGCAACTTGCAGGTAATATTTGATCTGTGATTCTATTATTTGCTTTGATTGGCACATCAGACATGATATATACATCCTCTGTTTCAAAAGTCAAGTACATATTTTCTCTAAAGGTTAAAATATGACTGTTTGCTTTCTTAAAAGAAGCTCTACTGTGTCTGTCCCCTGTATCAAGAAATATGATTATTATAAACGATGTATCATATATAATTAGGTAAATAACATGGATTTAGCTGTTTAAAATTGTTTAAATTGGAAAAAAAAAATGGTGAAATGTAGTTATACATAGCTCTTATAAGTCAAATTTATAATTAAATCACAGTAAAAAAACCCACAAAAAGATATTACTGTGAAGATATGGATCCAATACAAAATGTGAAAGCAGGCCCAAACTAATTGGTTTTCAAAGTCCAAAACCCATGACTACACAAAATTCTACAAAGACCCCATACAATTGCTGATGACAAAGAAGCATTGGCGACACAACAAACATAACANAAAACCAAAACCCAAATAATTAAAAGTTAAAACACCAAATCATTTCTTTCCTAAAGGCCCTGGCCCCTTAGCCCATATGTGATTAGCCAACAGCAAAAACCAAAATAATTAAAATTTAAAAAACCAACTCATTTATTCACTAAAGGCCCGAACCAATTATGCATAAAAAATTAAGCTAGAAACCTTCATTCTCTGCTTGCTCCTCATAGCCTGCCGCAGCCAAGCGCCAATCCCACCGCCACGGACCAGGCTTCACTCCTCTCGCCGTTAATTCCACCGTCACGGCCTCGACTTCACTCCTTGCAGAGACGCCGCCCATCTGCCACCGCCCGACCCGATTCGCCACGGCCACTAACCTCATTGGTAAGGGTTTTCTTTCTAATTCTACTCCCCGGTTTGTACCTCTTTTATGTCTCAGTTGAACTTACTTATGAGAAATAGCAAGATTCCCTTTATCTAAATTTGCATTTTCCTTTTTCAAATACTTTTTTGTTCAGATGTAATTTAATTTTAAAATATTGGGATTTGGGGGGTTTTGTCCTTGTTAGTTTAATTTATAAAAGCTACTTAAAAAAATATAAAAGCAGTTCCACTACTTTTGACTTTTGCAATGTGGCCATTTTTGTTTCAATGTGATTCTGTGATTGTCATGTAGTTATCAAATTAAGAAAATAATGATTCTATTTATTTGATTAGGGGTGTGTTGATGTTAGTGGATTTTTGTTTTGTTCAGATTTTAGAATTTGGACTAATTTTACTTGATATGCTATTTATGTTGTTACTTGTTAGTATTAGTTTTGGTGTTCGCTTGAAGTAATTAAGAATTCTGATTGCCCTTTGAATTCTTTTTAATATTTATTTTTTATTATTAGTTTGCTTATATCATAATTGATTAATTAACTATTTTTTGTTAACTTTATAGGTTTCAATCATAATGGAGGATCAAGAAATGAATTGATTAATTAACTATTTTTTGTTAACTTTATAGGTTTCAATCATAATGGAGGATCAAGAAATGAAGAAAAGAAAGATTATCAATTCGTTTTTTAAACCAAAAGAGCATACGTCGACAATCCGAGATCGTCCTTCAACTGATGATGTTGCCTCCTCTATTGATATAAGTTCACTTGTCGTCCGGTTCATTGAAAAAAAATAAAAAATAATTAAAAAATAATATATATATTTTTTTTTAAAAAAAGCGAACCTCGGCTTCGGGTTCCAGTTCGGAATCGAAACAGCCGGTTCAAAATGTATAAACTATAAAGTATTGTACATGAACCGAATTGGTCAAAACCATAGGCCAGTTCAAGACCCATGGTCAACGGGCTGGTTTGTGTCGGTTCGGCCCGAACCGACAAGTTGGGTCGGCCTATGACCATGTCTACTCGGTTCCAATAATAGCTACAATAATATGCAGCCCCGAGTCAAAAAAATTTCTGGCTACGCCCCTGTTTATGATGAAATTAAAGAATACGACACAAAAACAATATTTCCAAAAGTTCTCTGTCTCTGTTTCCATACATCCACCACGCTGGATCAACTGATCAAGAGGTAAAACCGTTTTCTTTTCTTCTTTCTGCTACCTGGCCATGGCTGATCTACACAGTTCCAGCAAAATAAGGTTGTATAATGATGTGGGTCCTTGCCATTCCAGATGTTCTAGCTCTTAAATATGCAGGGCTCTTCAAAAGATTCGAACTTTTGTTCAATCATATGATTCTTGGTTAAGTGGTGCCTAAAGATTTGATCTTTTTTCATATTTAAATTATTTCGTGTCTTGAAATTTGATAATTTTTATGTAGATCTGACAGCATTAACCTTGTATTGGATACAATGTGTCCTGATTTGTTCATTATTGCAGACTGTTTCAAAATCTTGTTCTCTGATCAGATGTTGAAGATTGATCTTTTCAGCTGATTTTGATCTCTCTTGCCTTTTCCTTTAATGTTTGATGATGAAGAAAGAGAGTATCTAGATTATTGCACATTGTTGAAATAAGGATCTTCACATTAGTCTGCATGCTCACAATTCTGTTCCAACCTTAAAGCTAACAATATGTCTGAGTTATATTATTTTCTCGGTGCCCAAATCAATGTTTTATTTAGCTCCACTATGAACGAACACACCTTGTTTTGTTATTGTACTTCCATTTGAGATTGTTCAAGCATTTTAAGGTAATCACCATGAAGAAATTTCAACCTTGATCCCAATTTACCTTTTGCTTTGCAATCTGTTCAAATGCTTTGATTTGAATTTGATACAGGTTTATAAATGCTTTCACTATTTTTTTTTTCTTTATTGTGTTTTATAATATGTCCTTGTTGCAATTTGTTTATGTGTAGATAATATATCATCAGAATGGCCACAGGCATGATGGGCACAATTGTCGATGCTGCAAACAAGGTACTTTCATATATGCTGATTTATTTCTTTATTCATTTCAAATTTTCAAGTCATATGATACACATATCAATTTTACATAATTCCATTTGTTACAGGAAGTAAATGGAAGTACACACAAAGACAAGAAGGTGACCGTTGTTTTTGTTCTAGGTGAGTGCTTTGCAATTACCATGATTTAGTTCACTCTATTTCCATGTATTATGGCCAATTAGAAATGCCACATGTTCCTGCACAAAGTTTCTCCAAAATTCTTTCTTTTCGGTTAAGAATATCATGACAACTTTCTTACATTGTCCTTTCTGAATATGGGTAGGTGGTCCAGGCAGTGGTAAGGGCACTCAGTGTGCAAATATTGTCGAAAATTTCGGTTATACTCATCTCAGTGCGGGTGATCTTCTCCGAGCTGAGATAAAATCCGGTTCTGAAAATGGGTACAATTTCAGTATTGTGTGCATTTGTGTTCTCTGCAAAATACATAAGAAAAATTGTGTGTATTTTTTAAGTAACTTGAATTGTGACTTATATACGTATATATATATATATATGTGTGCGTGTGTGTGTGTGTGTATGCAGGACAATGATTCAAAACATGATTAAGGAGGGAAAAATTGTGCCTTCGGAGGTAACAATTAAGCTTCTCCAACGAGCAATAGAGGAAAACAGCAACGACAAGTTTCTGATTGACGGCTTTCCTCGCAATGAGGAAAATCGTGCAGCATTTGAATCTGTAGTAAGTCCATTTTCTTTAACGTATACCCACTGTCTCGACATATACTTGAATATCTTCTCGGGCTATTACTAGTTTTCGTTTTCTTTAACTGCAGACTGGGTTTGAGCCAGAATTTGTACTCTTCTTCGATTGTCCGGAGGAGGAAATGGAGAGGCGCTTGTTGAGTAGGAACCAAGTACACTACATCTCTACTGTTTATGTATTTATTTTTATCCTATTCATGTATATCAATCCTTATTTATCGCTGTTTATTTATTCTGTGCATGCTTTTTGTTTTCATTTTTGCAGGGCAGAGAAGACGATAACATAGAGACAATTAGGAAGAGATTTAAGGTGTACATGGAGTCGAGTCTCCCGGTGATTGAATATTACAATTCTAAAGGGAAGGTCCGCAAGGTAAATTTCATCATCATGCTCGACTCGTGTTGTGATAATGTCATATGCAAATGAACAAGCTTAACAATTTTTTCATTTTGTTTTGATTTTTCAATTCAGATAAATGCTGCTAGACCGGTTAATGAAGTTTTTGAGGCCGTCAAAGCAGTTTTCACCACCCCACCTTTTGAAAAGGTGATACTTTGCAGTTGAAAATGAATATGTAATCCATTTTTTTTCGTGACAAATGTTTTCTTGATCGTTTGTCACTTTTGTTGCAGGCTTGAGAAAATGACGATGGCTCCAAAACATATGACTCGAGAAAATTTTTATACATTTTACTTACACTGGTATCCTTCTCCCTTGAAGTGGAGGAGTTTTTACTTACGTTTTACTGTTAACGTCTTTGATATACACGATTAGTTATATCATAGTGTTGTTTTTCGTTGCTTCTATATCGGTCATATCTTGTCGAAAGAGCGAAAATGGTGGATCAAATAATGGAGTTATTCATTTTCATGACTTGTATAATTGTTATCTTGAGGGCAATTCATTACTGTTTTGTTATCATCCCTCACATAAAATGAAGCAAGTTATGGAGCAATTTCTTGCAAACACTAAATCTAAAATGTATATNAAAACCTATAAATTGAATTCGAGTCAAGCTCAAGCACCTTGAATTCCAATTTGAGCTTGAGCTTGTAGTTAATAAGCTCAAATGCTAGGCGAGCCACTAGAGTATCCGTAAAATTATCAAAATACCCTAACTTGAATTTTTTTGTTTAAAATTCGAGCAAACTAGAGAAAAATTCGAGCCGACCTCGAATGCTTGCATTTGTTCGTCAAGACAAGCTGAGCCTAAAAATGTTCGGCTCATTGAGCTCGAGCAAAAGTCAAAAAAATTGAGCATATCTCAATAAGGTCAATGCTCGACTCGACTCGGCTCATTTGCAGCCGTTCACATGCAAATAAAGGAAATACAGAAAAAAAACATTTCTAGTAGTTAGTCTAGACCTATATGCTATATTAGCAAGAAGCAGAACAACAGCCAAGATGAATGACACAACAAACACTGTAATATAATCCCAATTATTAACTAATAATTTGTACAAAAGCAGCAAATTTATGTTGAGGTACATAACTATAATGCTAAAGATAAATCAATCAATGTACTAACTTATTAAAAATGGCAAAAAGAGCAAACAGACAAAAGCCATGCTCAAGAGCAGCTTCTCAAATGAGAGGTTGAAGATCAGTAGTTTCTTTCTAAGAATTTGTAAACAGTACTCGATTAATCGATCATGCATATAACCATAAAATCACTTCCTCGACAATATAAGCATCGTATTCCTTGAGGGANAAAAAAAAAAAAAAAACAGATCAAAGCCAACAAACTAATAGAAATAACAAAGACTATTCTCTTTTTCTCTGCTCCATCATTATTCAGTTCTGAGTAGGGTGTCGTGTCCTTAGGCTTTGCTCCACGGCTTTATCGACCTGATTTTTTCCTCGGCCATAATCACTCACCACTTTCACTTTATGAGTGTCGTGCAGCAACTTTCTTGTTCGAAATAAATTTCGCATAAATTTAGCCGGTTTCGCATTTTTATCACGATCGGGTGGGAAAAACGGGGAAGATGAGACGAGCTAGGAAATTACTACAAGGAAAGCAAAGAACAAAGCTAGAGTTTTGTGCTTGACCTCCATACGATCTCTTTCAGTGTCAATGTTATGAAAATGAAGTGAATTTGGCAAGTGTGACTATGAATATATATGAAAGAGCAGTGTATAGTATTTATTTAACTTAATTCATGTACTGAGGACACAACACCATGTACTGTATGTATATAGTTTGCTTGCTAGCACACATTGCTTATTGCAAAGTTACATAAGTAATTTCATTTTCATATAGTGATTGTATGGTATTTCACTGTCGTTAGACGGACCTAACTGTTGTGCAATTATACATTTTTAATACATATGCATATTTTCAAATGACATGTCATACTTTAGAAAACATCATAAACAAAATATGACACTGAATAACATAAGCATGCATTCATGCTAGAAAAGTATGACTGACGACACGCCTAACGATCAGGCGAGAAAAGAAAAAAAGAAAGAAAGAAAGAAATTAGAGGTTGACTGGCTTTAGACAATTGTTCTGCAAAGTATATATTTATACATGATATAGACTTTCAGCAAAACCATGCAGCTGGCCAAATTGTCATAGGAGTCGTGGAGAAGCACTTTCTTTGCATGCCCACCATTTGACAAACATTTTGTCTAATCTAAATTTCAGTAAAAAGCACTGAAATGTTTTAAATCATCTAACTGAACAAATTCCCAAGACTAACTAAAAAATGTGTTGTCTTAAAGAAATATCATTGGTGTTGACTGTTGAGTATTTTTCATATTTTACAGTTTACTAGGAGATTATTTTATTTTAAAAAGATTGGGTTTGCCAAATAGAGGATAATGATTCTTTATTATTATGAACTTGTTTTTAAGGAATTTTTTTATGAGATACAGAAGAAAAAGATAATATTGATGTTAAAATAAATAACTTGAAACAATTGTTTATAATTATGCAATTTACATTTATTGTGAATTATTATTAGTTGGTATTAGCATTAATTATTATATAATATAATAGAAAAATACATGATTACACTCAATAGGATGGATTAATGTGAGAAGTAAAAAACATTAATGATAAATTTTGTAACCGAAAATGGAGGAAAAATTTTAGAGGTTTTATTAAATAGGTTTTCTTAAATGCTATTAACTAGTAAATATATATATATATATATATATATATATATATATATATATATATA